GATTATTTGTTTCAGATTGATTGTGTGAATCCGATAAATCCATCGGCTCTCAATTTATTTCTGAAATATTAATTCAATTTAATTGAATGTATATTAGATAGTAGTTCAACATCTTAACACTCGACCGAAAAGGCGCTTTGTATTTAAAGTCTTAAATTATTTTAGAATAATCTAAAGAAATAATATGATTTTAAATATTTCCCCAATAGATCAATGCCAATATCAAGCTAATTATTGCAATACTATCGTTCATATTTATTTTGTATATAAAAGATTTTGTATGTAAGATTTTGAATATAGAACTATTTTTTTAGTAGTCTACATTATTCAAATTTATTCTTTAATCGTTCTATATCAAGATTTTAGATTTAATCTGATATTAATTTTGTTTATATATTTTTATACCATTACATTTATCTTTGATCTATTTATATATTATATTTATTTATATATTTTTAAATAATATTTAATCCTATTGTAATATTTATTTATAAGAAAAGCTAATTCCGTGAATGTTGAATTATTGAATTATTTGCTTGTACAAGATGGTTTTCCAATGATTTTTCGTTGCCACATATAGAGAATTCATATCAGTCACAAACAGTGGAATAAATTCATAATCAGATCAGTTCCGTATATAATAGAATCGTTGAATGTTGAATGATATCGCAATCAGTAGAAACCAATAGAAACTATTTTGAGTACCTATATATGTATATAAATATATTATTAGATACGAATGCTGATTGTCGTAAATAATGTAACAAAAAGCTTTGAAACTTGAATTTTGTTTAAGTAGTCCGAATCTTACGCCTTATCTAGGTCTGATATATTATGCTAGCTGAAGATTTTACGATACATAAAGTATATACTCCTTATGACTCCAACGCGCGCGCAACGACGAATGAAAGGAGCACAATCTGTGGAAGCTATTTTGATACTTTAAAATGCGGTCGGGAAACTAGATAAGGGATTTTACTGTAGCCTGACGAACGACAATGTAGCGGGCGAAACGAACCAGGGATTTCTAGATTCTGGAAAGAAACCGATATCACTGGCGTAGAGTTTTGCGGACGCTCATGTATATGTACATGCGAAAACGCGCAAAATACGAGATACGCGATGAAATTCGAGGGAGGATACGGTGTCCCAACGACGAAAAATACAGTCAAAGGAAAAAGAAAACTTTCCATTAGGGATACGGTCGCGTATATGGTAATGTCAGTACACGTTTTCTACGTGACGACGAAGGAATGGATTATCGGAATATACGAGAATTTCTTATCCGATATATGAAAATGTATCCTTGCGAAGGTCTCTTTGTCATCGATTCAT